ATATATATATATATATATATATTGAATGCAACCAATTTTTGAAAAAACAATTAATCAACGTTTTCTTTTTTTTTTTAGAGAAAAGCTAAGATCCCTATTCTGTAACATGGTCGCGTTCAGCGGATTCGACATATCAGCGCGAGAATCGCATACGGACGTAACGTAACTCTTCTTTGTATGAGTACTCCCTCTATCTTTTCTTTTGGCGGTACCGCGTGAACTTGAATTCGGCCATTACCATACGTTTCCACTGAGCACGCGTCGCGTCGTGAAACAAAAAAGTATATATAAATCCACAATCCCTCTCTTTCTCTCCTTCGACAGTGGAAACGTACTCTTTTACTGCGGTTAAGATAAGTGAATACTAGTGAATATATACCTTTGAATGGCGAGCAAAAGTGATTTATCGATATATATTTATAACTGCTAATTTATTAAGGTAAGACACTTTTATTAAATAAGTTCAGATTTACAATATGAGTCGCGATAGTTCTAAGTTTTACGAATTGGCAAAGTTGGGCAACAGCCAAATAGTCGTATAAGACTATCGGTTTTGATAGAACTGACCAAATTCAACTTTTTTTCTTTCTACTGGTTGAGCCAAATAGTATAATTCATTGTACAATTAACTCGTAGATGTGAAAAATCGTTATTACTTACTTACAGGTTAAGGTTTTCTATAATAAGCCTCTCAACCTGTAAGTATAACCTATAACTCATAATAAATCAGAAATTGCATCAATTCACATCGAATTTGAGAAGAATAATCGACTATGATTGATCAATTTCTAGCTTCTGACTTCTGCGATTTATTACATTATGATTTATATTTATTGTAGATATATAGCCTCTGAGACACTTAAGACGTCCAACTGCCGATTCATTATAGATTCAGCATAATACATGTAATAATAGTTTTATGTAGTTATTAATTATTATTTATAATTTACATAAAATTTTGATAAAGCAAAATTTGTTAAGTGATTAGTATAATTGGATAGCTTTTTACTTTACAAATTAATTGTTTTCTATTGAAATTTTACAAACTTTTATTGTTTATTTATTGTTTTCTACATTATAACACAATAATTACAATTTATGGTGTAGAAGACAATATAATTCGATAATAGCTTCTCAATATATAAATAGTATGCATGTGTATCTAAATGCATGAATGTAACTATGATTGAACTATACTAATATTTCGTATTATTTATTTTCATAGTTTATTCTTCAACTTATTACGAAAAGAAAGCATTGTTAGGGTCATTGATCAACTATATAATCACTAACAGGTAGGAAAATTTTAAAATTATCTTAAAAATGCCAAAAATAAAGAGAAAATATTATCGAAGAGCACAAGAAATAACTAATTCAGTGATTAATTCTGTTCAGTACATAGACAATGCGTCATTATTAAAAAACAATCCACCTTTAATTTCAAATAATAATTTAGAGAATAATAATCAATTAAGTTATGAAGACAGTGATAATTCTCAGTATAATAACTATAGTGAATCAGAAGGCTTTAATAATTATAATTCAGACAGTGATCCTGATAATTGTACAGAACATACTAATTTTATAAATAATTTTGAACCTGTAATTGCAGATGATTTTCCAAATTCTATAATACCTAGCTTACAAAGATGGACAATTAAAAATAATATAACTCATGTCGCGTTAAATGAATTAATATCTCTTATACAATGTAAATATCCAGAATTGCCTAAAGATGCTCGCACTTTATTAGGAACTCCTAGAATGGTTAATACAAACGTCGTTTCACCAGGATACTATTATCATTTCGGTCTAAGTAATTGCATCGAAACACTTTTATCGCGATGTTCTTTTCAAAATCTACACTGTATTGAAGTTAACATTAATATTGATGGTCTACCATTATGTAAAAGTTCAAGTAGTCAAGTTTATCCCATTTTATGCAATTTAGTTGAAAATTATAATGAAGTAGATGTAGTTGGAATTTATCATGGATATGAAAAACCTGCAGATGCCAATGTCTTTTTACAACCTTTTACAGAAGAAGCAAAAAATTTAACTTTACATGGCATAAAAATTAAAGATCACATTTATTCTTTTAAAATTAGATCTTTTATATGTGATGTCCCTGCAAAAACTTTTATTACTTACACAAAAGGCCATTCGGGGTATTACTCTTGTTCTAAGTGTATTGTTAAAGGTGAATATTACTGCGACAGGGTGATATATCCGTATTTGAATAATTGTAATTTAAGAACAGATAATGATTTCCGATTAAAACTACAGGAAGACCATCATACAGGTACATCAATACTTGAGTCGATTCCTAATATAAATATGGTGAATGATTTTCCATCAGACCCAATGCATTTAATATTCCTGGGAATTGTTAAAAAAATTGTTGTTTCTTTGTGGTGCTACGGAAAACCTAAAACAAAATTATCTTTTCGTCAAATGTCTGAAATATCAAAGTTATTAATAAATCAAAGAGAAAATATATCTTCCGAATTCAATAGAAAATCAAGATCACTGTTTGAAAGTAAGAGGTGGAAGGCAACAGAATTTAGAACTTTTTTATTGTACACAGGACCTGTTGTTTTAAAATCTATTATAAATTATGATCAATATTTGAATTTTTTAACTTTGCATGTAGCTATCACAATTTTGTCAAATTCCAAACATATAAAACAACATTTAGATTATTCCAAATCTTTATTGCAATATTTTGTAGAAACATTTATTATTTTATATGGTAAAGAAAATGCATCGCACAACCTTCACCATTTATTACATATTTGTGATGACGTTGAAAAATTTGGAACTCTTCAAGAATTTAGCGCTTTTCCGTTCGAAAATTATTTACAATATATATTAAAGATGATTCGCAAAAATAATAAGGAATTAGAACAAATTGTTAGTCGTATAACTGAAAGAAATTACTGTGTAAATCATAATTTAAAAATAAGAAATAATGAGCCTGAATTTTCGAATCCACATTTCAATGGTCCACTTATCAATTCTCATAATTGTAATCAATTCAGTAAAGTATTGTTTAAACAGTTCATTTTAAAACAATGTAAACCAGATAATTGCTGTAGCTTAAAGGATGGAAGTATTATTGTTATTAAAAATTTTATTGTAAATGAGGATGGCCCAGTTGTAATTGGAAATAAATATAAAACAGTCACAGATTTTTATACTGTACCATGTAAATCGTCAAAATTAGACATATATTTAGTCAGTGATGTCGGGAATTTAGAGTCTTGGGATTTAGAGCAAATTGCGAATAAATGTATTAAACTTAAATTCGAAAATAAGTATGTAGTTTTTCCCTTATTGCATTCCGAATAATATTATAAAATCTTTTCTTTCCTCTTGTGCTCTTTGTTGTGTGTGTGTTACAAAATATACTATAATATATATAATCATATAATAATCTTTTAGCTTTAATAGACTACATTTGTATATTCTTGTATATAGATGTATGCGTGCTTTTGTGAGTGCGTGTGTGTATGTGTAACGTAAAGTCGTAAACGGTTGGGAATGCACGGAGGGTATACATGCGCGCGCGCGACGGAGGTCTTTCATTTCTATATATAAATAAATTATAAATATTTACTTTTTTATGTTGGAATAAATACTGCTTAAATTTTTTAATGTATATATAGAAACATGGAGAGAACATGGACAGTTGTACAATTTATTGACGAGGAGACCGTTGAAGCTGTCCCAACAACCTGGATTATTAATAATAAATGTTATTGGCCGCCGTTCCAAATGGAAAAAATTATAGCAGCAATCAAAAAACATGCCGAGCCTAACACATGTTGGCCTTCATATGATATTACAATTTTTAGAAACAGCAGTTATGGTTAATATAACACTTGTATTTAAATGCATATTACTTCTCTATTTAATAATAATTAATCAATAACATGTTATTTATTATTTTCCATTATAATAATATAAATATTTATTTACACATTTTTAGACAACTATCAAACAGCCAGGGAAAAAGCAAAAAAGGCAGAATTTACGTCTGAATTGACTTCCGACACTGATAATAATAAAATTTCAAAAAGAAAAGTTATACGAAAGAAGTTCTCTTCATCATCAGATTCTCTTGCGGAGGATACAGTATTACGTACGCCTCCAGTTATGCAAGGTCTGTTTCAATATTAAGCATCTCATAATATGTATAATATACATTTTTTAAATATTAATTATTTATAGCAATATCAATGTTCAGATTTTAAATTATATGTATATATATGTGTATGTGTATATATATATATATATTGTGTGTGTATATATTTGCAAAAAAGCGCAACGCAAAAAAAATTCTATTTCCAGATTTAATTAAAAGATAATAAATAATTGGCTGCTAATACAGAATATTCTATTTGCGAATATAATATAGAAAACTTAATGCTAATTGCAATTAAAATATTGATTTTATTATTAATTATTTTAGAGTAGAGTTTTATTTAAATGTTTTAAAAATTATATATTATTTTAAACTTGATATACTTTTTAAAAAATTTAAATAAAACTACTCTAGAATAAGAGAGAAATCAGTATTATATATTTGCAATATTATTATGAAAGCTTAATAATATTGCTAAATACAATTTTGATGAATTTTAAAAATTAAAATCATCTTAAATTTCACTCTTCGACGTATTTTGATATGTCTCACAAAAAATGTACACGGAATGTTGGGTTAAAGAGAGACACATATCGCTAATTAGTCAATTTAAAATAATATATTTTCATTAAAAAGGAGTAAAATATAATTAGGCATTACCGGCCGATGTGAGTGGATGTGTGTTATCGGGATATGTGCGTAAACGGGACCCTCCCCTTTAAAATATTTATAGTAGTATATCTTAAAATTATGTATTAGATTCCCATATAATATTCGACAATATGGTATTTTATATATTATTATATATAACTTATATATATAAAAGTCAAATATGCAAAAACGTGTTATAATATTGTGCATCATAAAGTGAAAGATACATAATTGCTATAATTATTTATAGAATCATCACAGAGTACAAGTCGCGTTTTAGAAAGCAACAAGAGTCGATTAAAATCAACCAATCTATTATCCAGTGAAAATACAGATAAACAGACAAAACATTTATCACATAAATTTTTGGATAATAATTATACTTCGCGAGACTATGAACCTAACGTACAAAGTAACGAAACAGATATCGACAATAACAATGGTATGTATTCAAATTGTTTTTTAATATATTATGTTGTGTATGTTTCTACTACTAATAAACTAAAGAGAAATAATAATTATTCATTCTATATTTCTAATAATAACAATAATAAATTACTGTAATATATATATATTATTATTATAGTACAATATATATATATATATATATATATATATATATATATATATTGTACACACACTATAATAATAATAAATAATAAAAATAAATATTATACCGTAATTATTATTAATCTTACTATCATCGTCATCGTCATTTCTTTTATCATCATCATCATCATTATTGTTGTAATCATTGTTTTATTTAATTTAACTTTTATATGTTTATTATCATTTTAATCGGCATATTTATATTTATTTTTATTATTATTTTGTTATAAAAAGTAAGAGAAGATCTTTTTAATTGCCTTCTTTATATGCACTTTATAAATACTAAATAGTATTTCATATCTTGATATAGGTGTTGATCACGAGAGCATAAATATATTAAATAAATCATTTTAATTACAATATTTAAAAGATTGAAAGTGAAAATGAACTTTTATTTTTTTTATTTTTAATTGCAGTTGTGCGTCGATATTTCAAAGAAATTATTCGTCAGCAATCATACTTGAAGACGCAATTATGGCAAATTGCAGATGATTTAAGAGCCATGAAGAATGAGTTGTTGCAACAAAATCATCAACAGCCAAATGCAAATCAAAGAAATTCTATTTTTTCTTCTTTCGATCTTCCTTTTAACAGTGTTAAAGATATAGAACAGCTGCTTGAACAATTTTTAAAGGAACCGAATAATTTTGAAACGTCGGTAATAATACTTTATAATTATTAAATTATATTAGTAATAGATATATGTTTAGTCCTCCGTTTTAATTTTGAGTAAACTGTATTGAATAGTTCAAGAAATTATTAATGAATTTTTTTAAATTTAATTTACTATAATAATCTTTTATCTATAATAAAATAATAGGCTTTTAGTAATATTTGAAAAATAATTGCCATTAATTTGAAATTCTAATAAATCAATATTTTGGTTATTTAATTCAATAAGAAGGAATTGAAAATAATTAAACAGATTTTTAAGAAATATGAATAATGATTAAATTAATTTAATATTGTCAAAAAATACCCGGGTTCACGTTAAATCGATTTGAAGTCAATTAATTTTTAGGACCGTCTGGTTTGATTACTAGATTTTCTACTAATCTTCAAAAAAAGATCGATACTTTATCGATGCAACGTTAAATAAAACATCGATTATTTTGATGCAGCATTGGTAAAATGTCGATGTCTTTCGAAGATCAAAGAAAATGTAATCGATATCAAATCAAACGGTTCGAAAAATCAATAGATATTGATTTGATTTCGACTTACGAACCAGGGATATTAGTATATAAATTAAAAATAATTAAAGTAGGCATTTAAAAAAACTCTTTAACTTTTCAATTAAATTAAAAAATTTTATAATTTGTTTGCAATATAATGAATTGAAATTAAATTAGTATTATATTGTATTAAATCTGTAGATTAATAAATGAATATAAAGAGTAATAGTTACATTTGTTATTTTTAAAGTAATTCATTTGGTTTATTTTACAAAAGGGTATATATGTATATTGTATTTATATATTGTAGGTTAAAGAAGTATCCCGAGTTGGGGGAAAAAATTCTTATGAATTTATAAAACGTAATTGTACTCGCTTACTGACCAACGAACTAGCAGAAAAATATAGCTGGTTAGGAGCAAAACAAAAATTAAAGTTTTGTCATTTAAAACTTGCTGACTTACTAATTAGTAAGCGTTGTGTATATATTATATTATATATAATTTATATCTTAATACAATATCTTTATTTGAATATTCATTCAAAATAAAATCATATATGCAGTAAAATAATTATTTACATAAACTATTTTTTATTATAGTTTCTGGTCAGGATAGTAATTCCACATATACTAAAAAGGAATTGGAAGAGGCGATTCAGAAATGGCTACGTAGAGCCAAGGAAAGATGTACTACTAAGAAGAATAAATTAGTTAAAGATAAAGAAGAAATTGAAGAACATTAATAAATTTGTGATAACTTTTTGGACTTTCTTCTCTATTAGAAGAATTTTAATTTTTTATTTTATTAGGGAGATTTTCATTTTATTATTAGATATTGATTTTAAACCGATGGTTAAATTACCTACCAAAATTGTTTACAGTATTTGGAAGATAATTTAATCATCGGTTTAAAATCAATTTCTAATAATAAAATGAAAATCTCCCTAATAAGATAAAAAATTAAAACTTTCTGTATACTATTATCTATAAAAATGTGATTACATGTTGATATTAATATTATTTACGTTGTACAATTATACATTTAAAGATTTCATTTTAAGTTAAAGTTTAACGTTAAAGTTTATCAATATTATATGTATATGATAATATGTATGTGATACAAACGTTATAATAATTTTAAGAAATTTAATTTGTGTTCTTAAGGGTTTTTAAGGATCGAATCCTTAATTTCATTTATATACTGTAGTAGTCACGCTACTTGCGATATTATCAGATTTATATCGTGTAGGAACGATTCCAAAGTGTTAATAGCGCAATTTTTTTGTTACTAAGCCATCTTTCATCTATTCGCTATGGAAGATGTCATATATTATATATGATTTCTATAAAAGTGTTTGTTATATTCTTTTTCTTCTTTTCAATATTTAACGCATTATAGTATTGTTTTAATAGCAAATCGTGCATTATTGTGCGTTTTATTAGCTTGAAATAACAGTAAAAAATTTTGTAATAAAATTGTAATGTTATCTTCTTCTGTGTATAAATGACAGAAATATCGACAAATTTCTTTTATTTCATAATAAATGAAAAATATCAACAATTATGCATTAATGGTGTATATGTAATATATTAATTGTTTTAGTGTTGTTTATATTAATTTTGTATAATTCTCTATCTCTTGAATTTGTTTCACAGTGACGACGGATTGAGGTGTGTTCGATTATTCAATTTTAAAAGTGAACTACTTTCTGTTGTGAACTTTCAATAATGTTGGAAGTTTTTATCTCTAACAAAAATGCTGTAAATTGAATCAATTATTTTGTTTATTAAATTACAATAACATTTTGTGGCAAAGTATACGCAAATCTCTAATGCGCATAAGTGGCACGCCAGTTTTGTAATTTCACAAACAAATTTCTGTTGCAAATTTGCAAATATTGTAAAATCACGCAGCAAAACGTTACATGATTTGTAAATTTACTGCACATATTTATTGTAAGGGATTATAATAAATTTACAAATATTTTTAACAAAGAATTGTACAACTCTTTGGATATCATCAAATATCTTTCTTTTCATGGGCACGACCTTCGGCGTTTGAATATTATCAATATAATATTCAATACATAAAATTTCTCAATAATGTTCGTCAGTGATACAATATATAATGATAATTTTTTTATATTTATATTCTTTACATAAAATAATATAATTTGTCATTACATTTTTTGTTTAGTTAATATAGGGTGTTTTCTCTACATTTGATGACACAAATGACGTTCTATCTTCGGCACTCATTGAATGTCAAAAAAATAGAGCGATGTTTGTGTCGACTTGTGTCATCAAATGGAAAGCCGTCATTGTTTGCAAATATGTATATTGGCAATAAGATAAAAAAATATATGGTCAGGTTTAGCAACAATGGATGTGTGTCCGAATAAAGAATTATTTTGTTACTTTTAAATAAGTTTACTAGCCTTGAATAAAGTCAAATTATATATATAATATGTATGTATACCAATACATAAATTGACGTACATGCACACGCACGCACGCACACACACACAGACATATGCATATACGTATTTACATTATTATGTAAATATATGTATGTATATCTGTTTTATATATGGAATCCTAATAAGTCCAAAATAGTTTCAATCATAATTCTTCTTCAAACATATGTTATTTAACAAATTATTATATATATATATATATATATATATATAATAATAGCTCTGTATAAAATAAATAACATTACATTTGAGATAAAATTATTATTAAAACTATTTTGGACTAATTATTAGGACTTTGTATAACAAATCCAAAATAGTCCAAAATGAGTCCTGAAAAGGTTCAAAAGTATGTCCAAGAAAGGTCCAAAATAAGTCCTGAAAATGTTCAAAATAAGTCCAGAAAAGGTCCAAAACAAATCCGGAAAAATGTCCAAAATAAGTCCGATAACGGATATTTTATAAACATCCGAAGTTGTGTCAAACGTACATCTTATGGACGTACATCAGACATCCGACGGATCTTTTCAGAATCAAAAAGGGATGTCCGATGTCCAAAAATGGACGTTCGGTGAACATCCATTGGACATCCTTGTGCTATCTGGG